GAACAAGTAGTAGTAGCAGTAGCAGCAGAAGCAGCAGCAGCAGCAGGAGTAGTAGTAGTAGTAGTAGTAGTAGTAGTAGTAGTAGTAGTAGTAGTAGTAGTAGCAGTAGCAGTAGTAGTGGTGATTGTGGTGGTAGTGGTATTGGTAGTAGTCGTAGTCGTAGTCGTAGTCGTGCTCGAGGTCGAGGTCGAGGTCGTATCGTCGTAGTAGTCGTCGTCGTCGTAGTAGTAGCAATAGCATCAGCAGTCGTAGTAGAAGTAGTAGCAGTAGTACCAGTAGTGATGTCAGTGGCAGTGGCAGTGGCAGTGGCATTGGCAGCTGCAGTAGCAGTAGCAGGAGCACGCGCAGCAGTAAAGTAGCGGGAGCAGGAGCAGTACCAGTAGCAGTAGTAGTAGCAGTAGAAGTAGCCGTAGTAGTAGTGGTGGTAGTAGTAGTAGTAGCAGTAGTAGTAGTAGTAGTAGTAGCAGCAGTAGTAGTAGTAGTAGCAGTAGTAGCAGCAGTAGGGGGTAGTAGTAGCAGCAGCAGCTGTCATCGTCTTCGCCGCCCTCGTCGTCGTAGTAGTACAAACCCTGACCCCAAACTCCAAGTTCTGTAGCATGGCACCTCATCGTATTATACAGCAATAATTCTTATGATAAATAAGCCCCTAAATAGTATAGGTCATTATTAAGGCCCCTATGGAAATGTAAGTTAAACCCTACTTGGAGGATCATGGGACTTAGTAAGTCAGGTTATAAGTACCTGAATCGGGGTTATAAGTAATTATAAGTATAGTTACCTTACTTATAACCTAAATCCCATGATCCTTTAAGTAAACCCTAAACCACCGCCCGGCACCTCATCGTAGAGAGCTAGGGCCTCCTTCCAGCGCTGGGCGTCTGCAGAATCGAAGAGAGCCATGGCCGCTGCTGGGCGGTGGTTTAGGGTTTAGGGTTTAGGGTTTAAGTTACATTATGATAGGGGCCCTACTAGTTACCTATACTACTGGGCCTGGTGGTCTGTATGAACCCCGAAAAGGAACTGCTACGGAGCATCTAGGTAAACCAATGAAGTCACAACTCCCTGGTGCTTAGGGAATGGGAAGTGGATCCTTATAGTAGCCCTGTACAATCCCCAATAACAGTCTCCATAGTCCATTCCCCCATTCCCTACCAACGAATGTTGTGGTGGCTGTTGTTGCTATCGCAGATGCTGTACCTGCTGTAGCTGCTGAGATGTAGCGTAGTTGCTGTTGTTGCTGCCGCTGTGGCATTCATTCTGCGGTGGTACGACTCGGATGAGAGTTACTATCTCTGTGATTGATTAGCGAGGTATCACTAGTGTTTTGCTGATTGTATAGCTGTCGTCAGTAGCAGTAAGGCTGTTGCTGTGGAATACAATGCCGTGGATGCTCGTTGCTTGGTGGGAATATGGTGCCTACGTTGGTTAAAGGCCCTACGCCTCAGCTAGTTCCTGGGTCTAAGGCGTCTGGCGCTCAGAGCTTCATAGCAACCCGGCACCAGCCTCACAGGACGAAGGAAAGTACCAATGTTAAGGAATCTGCCTTCCTAAGATCAGCTTTCAAGAGCATCTCTTAACTATGCCATTAGTGAATAGCAGCTATTTGCTTTCTTGTTATGGGGCGTGACCTGGCAGTCTTCTCGCGATGGTCGAGGATTTCTTGAGGAAACCTTTGGTGGCCGGTGACTCCTGAGCTGATGCACCGACTTGGATTTCCCAGGCCCTTTGTCTCGCGGGCCCCAAGCGTTTATGGAACGCCCCTGCAAAGCCTCCATATCAAACTCCTCATTGCCGATCCTGACAAGGAAAGCTATCTAACCCGCCCTGACAATTCTTCTGACACAATTTCCCCCAGACCATATCTCATGTGTTAAGGCTGTCACTCTTTTGCTTCCTTCATCATCTGTCGCCTCGGCAGGTGCCTCTGACTAAAACGCAACTGCGTAGCGCCCCTGCCTGAGAGGTTCGGCACAAAAATCCCAAGCACAACCCCTGCCACCATTAGTTTTATCACTACGAACACTGTTACTGCCACTCTCTCTCTCTCTCTCTCTCTCTCTCTCTCTCTCTCTCTCTCTCTCTCATACTATGACAATAATTAGCATCCATGCATTACCCCTCTTGAGTCCCATCAGTGCCAATTGAATTTGCTGGGGCTCAAAAACACAAAAGCTCGGTTCAGGAACATATTCTGCCCAAGGAACTGGTGGTTTTTTCTTCTTACCTAATCGTCATCCTGGAACACCTTATGATTGATGCCTAGGAATGTTCTCGTACAGGAGCATTCCAGATTTCCTCCCCGTGCTGGGCCGAATGCACTTTACAGCTATGACAACTCGAGGGCATCTGACAGGGGAGTGTTCAAAAACGGGGGTACCTTATATTGGGGTCCTTATACTAAGGATCCTACTTTTTAGGGTACTATATTAGGGTCCCCTATATTCGGAAACTCCCATATGATGGGCTTCGAAGTCTAGTCTGACGATGCCGATCCTGGTTACAGCATCGGAACCAATGATCTGATTGAGCAAACCATGTCCCAACTTGGGGATAGGGGCTGGATTTGGGCTCTTAGTCGGCGTTGAAAGGTTTCCGACCATGGACCCTGAGTCCTACTTGATTTCTGAAGCGCTGGTTTACGGCTCAATCTGGCAACACAGCAATGGAACAACGACCATAACACAAATTATCTTACTAGCAACAGTCATACCAAGACCCCAGTCTACTACCCTTGACTGAAACTCGCAGTGGGCACTAAGCACTGTACAGAGGGCCGACTGGATGCCATCGGCTGAAAAGAACCTAATATCGGAGCCAAACAAACAGAATGGGCTTGAGGGTTACATCTTGTTTTAATATAGGGAACACAATCGTGGCTGGCTATTCTTTAGGCCCCTGAATTATTGCAAGCTGCAGCCTTCCCGGAACCTGGAGATCCGAGAGGATCTCAAAAAGGCACAGAAGAAGAGGATCCCTAGTTAGGGAGATGTTGTACACCAATTATGGCAGTGACCGCAGTGACCCTAAGAAATACTAGTGGTCATTATTCAAACTTCCAGATTACTCAAGCACTAAAGAAACACGTTCATGATCGCTTGGGGCATGTTATTGCTACTTCTTGACCCCTATATTGCACGGTAAACTGCTGGAGCACGAAAATCTCGGGTAACTAGGCCTTTGCTTCTGTGCAGAGTGCATCTCCACTATCGAGCTGGTCCAGAACTACGCCTTCGGCGGTAGCTCATCTCTCCAGGGATGTAAACAACCGCCGGCTCTGCGTTCTCAACACTCCCGGCAGCCTCAGCTTGGTTGCCTGGAGGTTCAGGGTTTAGGGTTTAGGGTTTAGGGTTCAATAACAAAAAGCAATCTCAAGGTGTCGTGGGAGCATGAAGCCGTGAAGAAGGCGACGGTGAAGCCTGTGCAAAACCACAAAACAGCAACCAATACCATCTGTGTGAATCATTGAAACCCTTGTTTTAAGCCCTCAACTTCTAAGCCTCTTTCACTGCCCCGAGGTCATGAAACGAAGAATGCTTGGGGGTTCTCGAACGATGTACGGCCCTGAATAACCGGAATACGGGCTATGGGGAATATTAGCATAATATGGTCATATAAGGACCATAAGAGATACTTTACATAATATTCAAGCTCTGATGATTGTTAAAAGTTATAGTGGCGAGGAGATGCGTTCACGAAGTAGCTCACTTCGGGCCTCGGGGCGTTTAATGGCCCTTGTGTTGTGGGTTTGGGCTGACAGAGGTCCTACTTTGTCGAGTTGATGATGGGAGTCCGGTGGAAGAGCTGTTGAAACTTACATCTGGAGGTAGCTGCTGAAGACATCCCTAAACCCTAAAACCCTAGCCCTCAACCCTAAACCCCAAACCCAGAGATTCCGGCCTGCGGCAGCTGTGCCCAGAAAGTCATGCCCTGGCAGTTCGGCTCAGTTTTCCGGTTTAGGGCTTATTATGGGCTTAGGGCTCTGAAATATGGGTGTAGGGTTTTAGGGTTCACGGGTTTAGGCGGTTTAGGGTTTCGGGTTTGGGGGTTTAGGGTTTAGGGGTTTAGTTTAGGGGTTAGGGTGTAAGGTGTTTTATCTGATTAGACTATTATGTTAGTAGTGCTGCTATTCTTTTCTTGTCATTGTAGCTACAGTAGGGATTGGCATGGGCTTAGCTCTAAACGAAGCTAGACCATGACAGGGGCGACCGCAAAGCTACACATTGAAACTGGCAGGGTTCTGCAGCGGGCCTGCCACTCAGAACAACATGTACTGAACAGAGGTCCTTTCACCGCTGAAGCCGCTAAGGCCCGAGCTGGGGCAGATGGCTCCGCAAGGCCTTCGCAGCCTCACGCGACCCATAGGTCTCAGACATCCAGGAGGTTTAGGGCTTAGGAGACGTAGCCTGCAATTAGATTTGGGTTTTGGGGTATACTTTTATAATTAGAATAGGGTTTTGGGGTATACCATTATGATGGAATAGGGTTTTAGTGTATACTATTATAGTGCACAGACGATCGCACCTGGGCTAGCAGGTGTTACTAGTCGTAACAATTCCTACTTCAATAACTTCGGCTTGGATTAGCTTCAAGACTGCCCCGAGATCGCTGCAGAAGCATGTAATCGATTCCCAAGTATTCAGAATCAAAATGCAGGCGCTGCACGCCGCACCGATGGATTAAGATTTGCATGGACAACCGGCGGCACTGCTTGCTTTGCTTGGCTCAGCCTCTCTTACAGACTTGTTGCATTTTAGGCCCTGAAGTAAACCGTTCATCCAAGCCCGAAACTCGGCCAAGTATGCTCGATGCCTCACTGATCCGAACAAAGAAGGCTTCGTCGTAGCACAGTCACAGGCTGCAGCACGCTTCTTACAGCTGACACGGCGAAGACGTCTCCACATTCGAGCAGAGCCCTTCTAAGGAACGCCGACATGAAAGTGTGTGAGTACGTTGCCGGACTGGCTGGTGCTGTACACTGTACAGGTCCCGCACACAACTTCTCATTTGCAAAGCGTGAAATCAAACTCAGTCTGTTTCCAACCATTGTTGGATTTTGACCTACAGGGGCGCTTCGGTGCCTGCACTGGAGATGCTGCATCAACATCTTGCTTCCTGTGAGCCTTTGTCGAGGCATTCCGCCGTCTGCGACAAGCTCTCTGCTTCTGCAAATCACGCTTTCGGGAGTGAGCCTCCTTTGCAGTAGCTCTCTCTGAGAACGAGACCTCGGTGATTAAAGGGTCCTTGTGGGCAACCAGACCGGCCAGAAACTTGTCCATGCCATGGCGACACCTCAGGGCGACGTGCAGGAGCCGTTTGTCCCGGTTAAGCACCGCCTCCTGGAGCACGTTCCCGAATGCCTCGCGCCCACAGTGCCCTCGTCCGTGTTCCAAAAGTAGAACGAGGATCCTCTCGTACCTGGCACGAGTTCGGTCCGGAAACTCCCTTCGGATCAGCAAGGCCATGTCGAGTGCGGTCTGGCCGAGGCATGTCTGAGCCTTGATGTCCACGCGGCCATCTGTCAGGAGCTCCTAGTTCATGGTTGGGATAGGATTCGAAATATACGTTTTTATTCCTTATTGGGTTTAAGTGCCCACAAGAATGTAAAATGTTACCCAACTATGACAAAGGCTCATCCACAATTTCCGGATTCCCTGCGAGCACGGCCAAGTGGAGAGCCGTCTGGCCTGCAGCATTCGCCGAAGCCACGGCGGTAAAGCGACTGTGATTCAGTAGGAGCCTACAGGTCTCCCATCTTCCCCATGCAGTTGCAGCATGAAGGGCTGTGCAAGACTGCTCAAAGTAGTTCAACTCGTATGTGTAAAAGATATTATAAGGCATGGCGACATCTGCCACTGCATCAGCCACGCGAAAAGCTGCAAGGTCAAGCAGCGCCTTGCAAATCCGAGTCTGGCCCCATACAGCTGCATAGTGCAAGGCCGTGCACCTGTCGTAGGTGTCACCATGGAACTCCGGGACTGCATCCCACCAGGCGTCCAAGGAGTTCACCTGGCTGCCATCCCTATCTGCCTCCATGATGTACTTTGCCATCCTGACATCTCGCCGCTCTGTTGCCATAAGATCCTTCTTCTGGCAGGTCGGCCACGTGTTGAACTCGTGCTCCCGTGACTCCTTCAGAAAATCTAGAAGTCTTGGCGGCTCCTTGCGTATGACATGCAGCTCGACATGTGGCGAGCGCGCAAAGGTGTGAAGAATGCGGTCAAAGTCGCTGAGCACCACACCGCCGCAGAGAAGCTCTAGGCACTCCAAGGGCGTCCTTGCGGGCGCCTCCAACATCTCCTTCAGCTCCCTCACCGTGGTTCCAGGATCTAGAATGAAGGTTCTAATCGGAGCTCCGGTCATGGCCCAGGAGACGTCTGCACAAACCCTGTCATCACGGCTCATGGCTCTGGCCAGGGAGTCTTGCGTCCCGTAGCTAAGCTCTGCACAACTGCGACGGAACAAAATCCACCGATAGATATCCGTTACCTCACTCAATGCGCTGGAGGCCCACAAGCCCATCTCATCATGTCTAATCTCTCAGGTATACACCCTGGGCGCCTGACACCCGGCCTCTGCGGGTAATAGCACAACACAACAACAGAATCCCCAAATACTGGAAGCCTGAGGCCTTAGCCCATTTACTCTCCTTCCCCAAACCCTAAGCCCTGAAACCCTAAAACCCTAGACTAGACCCAGAAACCTAAACCCTAAAACCTAAACCCTAAATCGGCAAGACGGCCTCCGCCTGAGAGGACGTTGAGTAGCACTTGGCGCTCCTTGCGACATCCACGGCTTCGAAGAGACTCCAATATCCCTTCATTAAGGAATATACCTTAAATCATATTAGGGATCCTACAGTTTAGGGTATATTCCTTAATTTAGGGATATTGGAGTCTCTGGGTTCGGAGGTGTAGTAGGACTCACGGGAGTGAAAGCTCTCAGGGCGCAGACACTTATGCATGGATATGTATACTCATATAAATATGTATAAATGTATATATACAGCACATTGTAGACACTCGTACAGAAAAACATATACATATACGTATGCATATGCAAAGGCACAAGCGTATACATATACATATACATATATGTATATAATAGAAATGTACTAATGTACGACCATTTGGGCTGCAGAGATAGATGGTGGCTTTGCGCTCGAGTCAGACAGACTGCAATACTAAAATAGTAGGATGGTTCATAATGGGTCTCGCAATTTTTTGGACGAGTCCTAATTCAGGACTGAGTGCTTCTGAGCACCGGAGATGCACTTCTCAAGAATGCAAAGACACAGAGCCTGAGGTCTGCATTCCTGTTGCCGGTGACGTGTTTGAGGCGCTCACCAGTTCGTGGATCAAGGCCTGTCAAACCCATGGCAGAGAAACCCTGAACCCTGAACAGGTCCCTCAAAAACTAAACCCTCCTGTTCCAAGTCCTGATTCTACTACGTGGCAAACGAGAGCATCTAGCAGTCACATGTGCTATCGGGAATGGGATTGCTGATACTGTTCCGAGGACGCACTACCAAACTATCCTCTTCGAACTCGATACAATATCATGCAATGAAATATGATATATCCCAGGTACTATGACACACATATGAATAGAACGATTATGTAAACCTCTCCGCCTCGTTCCTGCATCGACAACCCTGCTGCGCCTGAACACCGAGTTGTCCAAGAACACCTCCAAGTGCTGCAAAGGTTTGCTGAAACGCTTTAGGAATTGTCGCTAATATAGGGGCCTTACTTATTACCTATACTATTTGGGGGTTCCTTGTTATAGTTCTGGGCTAATATACCCCAACACCCTCGTCTAATTTTTAAGGCCCCTATATTATTCTTTCGATCCGGATCTTTGAAGAACCACGATCTGATCGACCCGGTCTGCACTTTTCAAAGGCTGTGGGCGTCCGAAGCGCTCAAGGATTTTCATACAGCAACAGCAGCTGCCAAAGACTACGGCTGCCTCGGGGCAAGTTTAAGGGTTTCGGTACTCCGGTGGTTCGCATTGTTTTTGCTTGCGAGGTTTAGAAGGTGGACATGGGGATTTTAGAAAAGCAGCGCTGCTACGATCACTGAAGGAGGACTTTTGGCACAAGAACCGACGAAACCTACTTGAAGCAATCTATTCTCTTCGGCATCCCTCGAGGATTCATTCTGTCGGGCAGTTTGGGGCTACACTGCACTTGATCCTGGACCGAAGGATGCCGATGATGACGCTGACCTTAGACTCTTGAAACCACGTTTCAACACGGGCCCATATCATACCCATATCCCACACCCGACGGATACTTTGAGCAGTGACCAAAGAAAGCACAGGGCCTCGATGCCGCCCTTGGCGGGCAGCAGCAGCGTCGGCCCCGCGTTTGTGAGCACCGCGTTGCACTTACCTGAAAGCCGAAATCCATGTTCTGGGTTTGGTATTTGGGGTCGAGGGTTACCTGTTGTGGTCTAGGGGTTGGGATATTGGGTTCAGGGGTTTCAGGGATGGGAGCCGTGAGCTTGAACACAGCCTGCCCTTCGGTATGTCAGACTTGTCGTGTCTGCGCTTCACATGTAGGTTGTGGCGGGTGAATGCCGGACAGTGACACTATTGGTAGGTAGCCTTCCCTTAAAGAGGTCTCTTTATCGGTTCCTAATACTGCCTAATATAGATAATAAGGATCTCTATACACAGCCCCTTAAAGCAGAAAGCCTAAGTAAAGAGACCACCGACCTATGTAAGCCTTCCCCCAAAATTTGAAACGAAGTCTTACGGCAAAAATTGCGCTTCGAACACCCAAGACAGAACCACAGTCGATCCCTAAGTCGCCCAAAATCTAACAAAGGCGTCTGAATAACTAAAAATAGGGTGTGGGGGGGTGCATTATACTAGAAGTATAATAAAGACCCCCCCCCCCAAAAAAAAAAGCATAGGTAATTACTAAGCCCCCCCAAAACTAGACCCTCACAAGCCCGAACGGAGGTCGAGGGACTTCGTAACTAGGCACTAGGCAGGCTCAGAAGCACCCGGACAGGGATCCGTACTGGGGATGATGGGGGCCCTGAATCACTAGAAGAGGGGTTCGGGGTACGTCATAAGCAGTGTATCATGACAATAAGGAGCTTTCGGGACTGTGTGGTATTTATTCAGGCCCCTGTCACCTGTGTTCTCCTACTTCAGTGCCAAATGGGCACCTGATCCGAAGTCCGGCAGCTCCCTCTTGGAGGAGTTGTTGATGCCCAGCATAATGTCGCCTCGGGCAGGGCATCTTCGGGTGTTGCGGTTTTAAAAGCACAAAGCAAAAATGAGGGTAGCTATTAGGATTCGAGCTTGTCCGTGCTCTTCCGATAGATATAATGCTTATATGTATATACCAATAACAACTATGCACAACTATACCTATGCCCATATCTCTATCTGCATTTTGTCTCCATCTCTCGCCCTCTCTCTCTCTCTCTCTCTCTCTCTCTCTCTCTCTCTCTCTCTCTCTCTCTCTCTCTCTCTCTCTCTGCATCTGTATCTCTGTCTCTATCTTTATCTTTGCCTGTATCTATATCATAATCTCTATCTATATCTATGAAAGGCAGCTTGGTTACGATTTTGCCCCAGTGCACAGACTACCTGCGACCTTTTGCGGACCCCACGTCATGCGAGGTCTATGTGCTTGCGACAATCACGAAAACTTACAAGTAGTCCCAGCACTCAGAGGTGTGAGCATGCTTACGTCCACACCTCCTTCGTCCCTGAAAGAAAAGAACTTCGGGCTGCCCTATCGCCCTCATTCGCCCTAATTCCTTATTCGGGAACTAGCAGTCGCGACAGTACGTCCTACAAGTATGGCAGTTTCATGAATGAAGAGCTGTTGATATGCACCCTACGTAAAAATACCTCAGCTTGTTAGGCCCGAGATAAGAAGATCTTTGCTGGCCCCATGTAGCTCCATGCAACACAGCGCAACTCACGCATTCCCGCTCTCCGGAAGACGCCTTTCATGTTGTTCTCTTCCTGCGTGGGATTCAGGGCTTACGGCCTATACGACAGTAGGGTATTGATTGGAGTTTAAGTTTTAGGTTCGGGGCTACTGCGTTTCGGGACTTGAGTTAAGGGTTTAAGGGTGTATGGTTCAGAGTTTCGGGGCCGGGGTGTAGGTTTTCCACCGAGATATGGCGGTATGCCCCGCAACGACATCAATCGATGCTCGGCGTAAACCCAAGACCGCAAGTCCAATCCGTGAGTTTCCCAAACTGTATCAAACCTCGACAACACTTGCACATAACCTGAACCTCCGAGGTAGGTAAATTCCAAGACTGCCTGGCTCTGACTTGAAGGCTTCGTCACGAAACAGTGCTAAAGTTTATGGAGTTGACGCCGTGATATGCACTGTACCCGAAACAGAAGCCTCCTTCCCCAACCCTGTGAAGCCCGCCCAAACCTAGAGCAGTTTGGAAACTTGCCGAAACCAGTCATCCATCGGGAGACGGAGGTATGAAATCTTCCGAACACGGAGACAACCCTGCCTTGCAGGATCCGTTTCATACGGGACACCACAACAGCATGACAGAAAAACATGATAGTATGGTATAGAATAGTAGTATTGCATGATAATGTTATACCATATTAACCATACCATGTTGAACAAACCCGACAGGAACGACCCCTGCTTGTAAGATACCCCGGTGTAGGCATCGATCCGTCTCTGACCTGGAAGACGTCGAAGTGCATCCTGCTCAACATGGGAGCTTCCGAAAATGAGGGGTACCTTCTTTTGGGGTCCTTGTAATAAGGATCCTACTATTTAGGGTCTATATTCGGTTCCCCTATTTTCGGAAACTCCCACATTGCACACTTTCGGGTTGGATGGCTTCAAGACATCAGCGCTTGAACCTAGACTGTCTATAAACCCTGAAACACCGGAGCTGCTACCGTGAGTCTGAAACAAGCATAGCAAGATGCTGCAGAGCTGGGCCAAGTTTGGCGTGTCGATGTTTGGACATGGTTCTGCTGAGAACTCACCTTTGCCAAAAAAACCAGAGTCTGAGGTTTAGGGTTCAGCGATTGAGATTTGCGGCTTTGTCTTCACATGATAATCTTTAGATGATCCTGTCGTCAAACCTGGGTGATGACAGGGTTCGAAACTCGCAGCGAATGATATTGAAAGTGAGAGGCAGCGCAGTGCTTTGGTATCTACAGGTACGACATGCCTTCCTCCTACCCTCCTGCTGCCCCTTCCAACACTACAAACTAAAACTACGACCAGGACCACGACGACGAGACGACGACGACAGCAGGGACAGCTCCGACCCCGACTGAGACTGCGACTGCGACTACCACGATTGCTACAATGAATATTCTTGCTTTGTCAGCTACTAGTCTTACTACTTTGATGAAGGTGATGTTGTTTATCGATCGAACACCATTTATGAAACTTGTTACGAGTTCTTGCTTCTCACCCGCCAGCTCCCGGAAGCATGGCGGCGCAACTTCCGCTCAGAGGCGCCCAACAGCAGCCGCCATTTCTTGTTCCTTGGAACGAACGCTGGGGTTTAAGGACAATTTGGTTTGGGGATGCAAAAAATCGTCCGACAGCTCGAGTTTGCTCTCCTACTCTTTCTGTCCCTGTTCGCACTCAGAACACTGCGAAGGTTCGTTTGTGCAGGCTCTGTTGCAACTGCTTGGGTCATCACTGAGAGTCGGAAATGGTTTAGGAAGCGTGGGGTGTCGGGTTGCGAGATCTGGGAAGAAGTGCACATTCTGCGAGAAGCATTGCAATCTCTGAGCTGAAGAGAAGGCTCTGTGTCTCCGTTTGCAAAGAAATGGCCTGATTGGTCATTCCAGCTGCTGGACCACAGAAGATCCAAAGTGCACCGACGTTCGTTGCTGCCCTCTCCTGATACTCCAGGCCCTATAAGCAGGCAACCTCCAAGGCGAGCTTGTTCCCCGAGACCCTACAACCCTAAAATCCGCAAGGCCCCAGTGCAGTAAACACTAAGCCACAAAACCCTTAAACCCCAAACCACCTAAAATCTACGCTGCAAGACCCCCAAAAACGTCAAGAAGGACCCTAAACCCGAAAAAATTCGAGATGTCCAGGTCCCGCGCTGCGTGTCCTTGGAGCCTTCTTTGTACTGCATGGCCTGCACTCTTCGGCGGAAAAGGCTATCGGCTTAAATGCTAGGATCTCATGTCGAGCCGAAGCCTAAGCCACCTAGCACCATGAAGCTAGCACGGGGTTTAGGGTCTAGGGGATAGGATTGATCGCTATCGCTGCTATCCTTTCACAAGGCCCTTGACTGATGGGTTTGCGGGCTAGATTTAGCAGCCTTCACAAACCCACTATAGGGTAGTGAAATGGTTCTATGTGGGCTTCTATAGCGGTTGCTACAACGGTGGTGTCTGTGAAGATTTCCACTAGAAACGCTGAAGCGTAATAGTAAATCCCAGATGCTGTTCGGAATGGTGGCGCTAGCCGGAACGAAGGCAGGCGCCTGTCTTTTTCCAGGAGTATTGGAGAGTACTATGTCCAGCAGCAGCAGCAGCAGCAGTAGCAGTAGCAGTAGCAGTAGCAGTAGCAGTAGCAGTAGCAGCAGCAGCAGCAGCAGCAGGAGCAGGAGCAGGAGCAGGAGCAGCAGGAGCAGGAGCAGGAGCAGGAGCAGCAGCAGCAGGAGCAGGAGCAGGAGCAGGAGCAGGAGCAGGAGCAGGAGCAGGAGCAGGAGCAGGAGCAGGAGCAGGAGCAGGAGCAGGAGCAGTAGCAGTAGCAGTAGCAGTAGTAGCAGCAGCAGCAGCAGTAGCAGTAGCAGTAGCAGCAGCAGCAGCAGTAGCAATCCGCTAGGAAGTTTGCGTGCCCTGTTCGTGTCGGAGTTGTGCTAGCACAGGCCGCTTTTGTACTACTCGTTGGAGAGATGCTCAGTAGCAGCAGTAGCAGAATTAGCAGCAGCAGCAGCAGCAGCAGCAGCAGCAGCAGCGGCAGCAGCAGCAGCAGCAGCACAGTAGCAGTAGTAGCAGCAGTAGCAGCAGTAGCAGCAGTAGCAGAAGCAGCAGCAGCAGCAGTAGCAGTAGTAGCAGAAGTAGCAGCATTAGGAGCAGTCGGAGCAGCAGGAGCAGTAGCAGCAGTAGCAGCAGCAGCAATAGTAGCAGCAGTAGTAGCAGTAGCAGTAGCGGTAGCGGTAGCGGGAGCAGTAGCAGTAGTAGCAGGAGCAGTAGCAGGAGCAGTAGCAGTAGCAGTAGTTGTCGTGGTTGTGGTCGTAATCGTAGTAGTAGTAGTAGTAGTAGTAGTAGTAGTAGTAGTAGTAGTAGTAGTAGTAGTAGTAGTAGTAGTGGTAGTAGTGGTAGTAGTAGTAGTGACAGTGATAGTGATGGTGATAGTAACAGTGAGAGTGATGGTGACAGTGAGAGTCGTAGCTGTAGTCGCGACCGAATTTGGAGTAGTAATCGCAGTCCCACCAGTCCTACCAGTACAAGTACAGGTACTAACGGTACAGCAGCAGGTGCAGACACAAGCCATACAGCCCTCGTTTCTCAGCCACAAGCTACAAGCTTTAGCCCCTTAGCCGAAGCCTCGTGGATGGAGGTGGCAACTTCCGCCCTGAGGAGCACAACAGCGACTAAGTGCGCCTGGTGCAAAACCCCATGCAGACACCCCATCAGGAGTGGGCCGCGAAAACAGCAGCAACGCTCACCGAAGCTGCTGCGAGGGTCACGAGATGGAAGAGAGTCACTCGCAGAAAAGGAGGACAACGACGAAGCGGAGGAGGAGCAGAAGCAGCAGCAATGCCGCGTGACAAGTTTGCTTCGGAGCAGCCAGGCCGAAAGCGGGACCAGCTGAAGCAATGCCACCGTAGCTGCCAACTCCGAGCACCACAAACACCGCCAACATGACCCACTGCAGCTTCATCGATGAGCGTGAACATTCTCTACACCTCAGTTTATCATGGACATCATCATAAACGTCAGGATAGTCCTGTTGTTCATTGCATTGCCGTCCCCATAACTCCATGATCATCAGCACGATTACGATTGACAGAACCATAGATGATGAGGACGACGATGGCGACGAGGACCAGGACGAGGACGACAACGACCACTACCTCATTGTCGACATGTTCAACTTGCACCAGCATCGTAGTCATCAAGAACATCATCATACTAGGCGTCTGAATCCGAACCATGCGGACCATGCCCAATCAGCAGTTCCATCAATCATCGTCGCGGGAGTGACTCACGCTCTTTCAGGCTTGTAGCTGGAGCGA